TTTTTCTAGGTTAGGGTTTTAGTGTTTGGTTTGAGCTTACTATTCCTACCTCTTACTATTCCTAAACTGTGCCGTCATATCGTCACCCATGCATGATGAACTTGCGGAAGTGTATCATCATGGGCTCAACGTCAACTTTGCTCAACCAGGATCAAACTTTGAACTGTTCTTCAAGTTGTTGGCCGGTTTGAAAGTTTGGAGACGGATCGATTCAACGGCCATTGATGCGGACCCTTGCGTTTCAGACTCTGATGCGCTCTGGTGTGCATTCTGGAAAAGAGCATTATGGAATTACATGACTTAAGAGTAGCTTTAGATGTGACCAATAAATGATCATGGAGATAATTGTCTTGCTCAGCAGTACCGTTCAGGGCTTCGCCAGGCTTCAGATCAATCACCCGCAACTATCGATGTCTATGAGGTTGGCCCTTCGATTGTCTCAGCCTGTTCTTAGTTGATTTGACTACTTTAAGAACTACAAAATCATTCGCCAGTACTCTTGCCTACTGCGTAACTGAGTAGTCACATCGCCTTCGCGCAACGGCTTCTCCCAACGCAAGCTGATTCGCAACCGTTTCGCAAACAAGGCGTCACATCAAGGATTTATCGCGGACTACCTCTCTGCTGACCTGAGAATACGCCATACGGTTGCGCACAACATTAATTAACAGCTCAAAGCTTGATGCTAGGTATAGAAGGTAAATGGCAAGGGAAGTGTTCACTGAGCAAGGTGTTCACTACCATTCAGAAGCGCCCGGGCACCTCAACTAACAACCTAAACCCAAAAGGTTACGCGCTCTGCAACCCCTAACCCACCCAACCACCAAAGTAACCCTACCCGTTCCCCAAGTGTTGAACACTCCGTTTAGCAAGGACTTCCGTTACCGAAGCGTAGAAAGTGAGGCAGTCAGATACCTGTCATCTGTTGGTGTCCGAACTGACGACCGCAAACCTCAGAGATTGAAATTAGGTGGTATTTAATGATGTCCCGTTTATGGTCATCATGAGATCATGATGCCATTTCATGAGCAGCTGCCCCGACCGTCGATCGTTCAGCCCGCGAACTATGGCCCTCAAATCGCTCCGGAAACTGCACCCTAGCGAACGTGGCGGCTCGGACTTGACGGACACCTTGTGAGGTGACAACTGTTCGGCATCGCACATACTTAACGATAATTGGACTTGCGGAAGCTAAGTGGGAATAAAGTCCTTGCTTCCAAGAGTATGCAGATCTAAGAGTAAGACTAGCCGATTCCTGGTAAATCAAAAAACTCCAGCTAAGACCCTTTCCTGAGCAGCTGGTTGATCAAACCTCGGGCTTTGAACAAAACGCCGAGACTTCTGCTTAGGGCGGCACATAGTGCGCTCAAAGAGGGCAACAGCCTTTCCATTCTTGAAGCTCCCTCCAAATATCAGACCTGCCTTTCAACTCCTGATATCCTTATGAGCAGTAGACATCCAGTCGCAAGATCCAGGGCTGCCTGCACTTCGTTCGCCGCTGGTCAACAGGATGAACGGTCACGGACCCAATTGCAAAGCTCCAAAAGTAACCGCCCGCGAGCGAGAGCCAAGATGGACTACCTTCTCCTTCTCGGTATTGTGCTCCCTTGTGATCGCGCTAATGATTGTTCTTACAGTCCAGCTCATCGTTCTGTCTTCGCGTCAGAATTTCTTCGCAAGCCGCGGGAATTGGCGGCCTAGCGAAAAACGTTTCAACGGAGAGGAAGGAGATTTGGAGAATGAGACGGAATTCTTTACCGCAGTGTCAAGCTTGGAGGAGCAGATGGACAGAATTCATGAGATGCTGGCGGAGTTGCAGCTTGACACAAAGGTAAGCAGGCCTGGAGAGGTAGTTCTTCTTGCGAATCTAGTTGGGTTGCTCTTCTACCCTCAAACTCAACTCTGTTTCGAATCCGAGCGTTAATGGAGCATGAACGCCTTGAACCTTCAATGCTCACAAGTGCATGGAAGCAAAGAGGAGCTTATTGCAGTGGTTCGATCGGCCTATCTAGCGCTACTGCGCTCTCATTTTTCCGGGCCGTTAGGAAATGGTAACACATTGTGCATCTTCGAGCGATCGAGCGATGTGATGTGACCGCCGCTCACCCTATATCTGCTAAAAGTGGTACCTTCAAATAGGCTTATTATTCTCAAATGCACTTGTTTCTGAAACTGGCAGGATTACCGAAAGTACACAAAGTCGCGCGCAATTTGAGCTCTCTCAAGCAACATACGGACACCAAGGTCCTATCGCGCCCCCCACTTGGGCGTTCTTTACTCTTCGACATCAGACAATGACGACCGTTTGCTGAGACCAACCGTTCGCTCACCACTTTCTCTCGTTCTGATCGCTCCTTAAAGGGATGCAAGAACTGTTCGTTTATCTGACGTTAGATAAGCACGGACATCCTGGGTAGTAGTAAAGAGTTCTTTGAAAGGACTGATCCGTTCACCTGATCACGGTCAGTTGATCTTAGCTTTGGAGGAATTTGAGCGATCTGAAAGGCATGTGATCCCACGAACGTGGCGTCGAGGCAGTCCAAACATCCTAATTTTGAATCAACACGCCGAATAAGGTCCCTTTCATTAGCACGGGAGGTTTTAGCCGTTCTTGAATCCTCTTGTTGCCCCTGCCAACTATTTTCAATGCTGAAGCCGAGCCGATCGACGAAGATGTTGCCGCAGAAGTGTACATCCATTCAATCATAACGGCAAGATGCACATGGCCAGATCTAAGGCCAAAACCCTCCAACCGCAGGCCGTCATCGAGCGCTCGCGGCCGCGGCGCGACCTGGAAAGCGCCCTCGAGGGACTGACGGAGGCCCTCCAAACCGACGACCGGTCGGCGAAAACCAACGTTTACCTGGGCGATGACGTCCTCATGAGCTACATCCCCTTCTTTGACACCCACTTCTTCCTCGACTCCCGGGACCGGGGCGTGACGCCGCACTTGTGTCAAGGCACCGTGTGGGAGCAGGGGACCACGGAAGCGGTGCGCGCGCTCGTGCGCCCGGGGCAGAATGTAATTGACGTCGGCGCGTGCGTCGGCTGGTACACGGCGCTGTTCGCGCGCGCTGTGGGACCCACCGGGCGCGTTCTGGCGGTCGAGGCGAACCCCCGCCTGGCGGGCCTGCTCGCGCGCTCGGTGGAAGAGTACCGGACGGTGAGTGTCGTGAATAAAGCCGTCGGAAATGAAGACAAGAAGACGGTTTTCGTAAGTGACGATATGACGTGGGCCCCGGGGAATACGGTCGGGGCGGCCGCGGGCGCGGGCGCGGTCCCGGTAACTTACGTGAGGCTGGACACGCTGCTACAAGAGGGACAGTGGGCGCGCGCGCGCGTGGACGTGATCAAGATAGACGTGGAGGGACACGAATGGCAGGTAGGTTTTGCGTCTTCGTGTCCCTTTCTTTGTCATCATTTTCTGGTTTGTAGGTTGAGGACATTTCGACAACAAGCAATAGAAGGGTTCAACGAAAGTCGATTCAACTTGTATGTCTCGTCTACTTTCAGACTTTTTTTTAAAAGTTGGACTCACATGGCAGTCGACTGTTGCGAGCGCGATGAGTTTGGGGCGACCTCGAACGTTCCCGAAGTTGTGGTCCATATATAGAAATAGAGAAGCAGAAGAAAAAGTCTTGGAGATATCAGCCAGCAAGGTTCAAATTCAAGCCTTACCCCGCAGGTTTGGCAAGGGATGCAGAAGACAGTAGCGGCGAACCCCAACCTCGAAGTCTTTCTTGAGGTGGGTATGCATTCCCATCCGCGCTAGTATTGAGGCGACAAAGCCGATAGCACCGTGTGCAATGCTGCCATCCGTGCGTGGCATTCTCATCTGGCACGAAAGATGAAGCTGCGACTCAAAGCCAGCCCAGACTTAATGTATCCTCTACTAAGATTACGTTTTCTGTGGGACTCTTCTTCTCGATCTCGCGTTCCAAAGAGACATTCCCACAAGTCAATCAACGGCGTCTTTTCCGAGCATGGCTGCCTGCCGTTCTTTGAGAGAGTCTACCTCTGCCTCGGTCCTCGCCACAATTTCGAACGGCGGAGGCATTCGATGTGATTTGCTGCCTCATCTACCAATACTACCTTGAACAAGTAATGAATAATGATCAAGCCCAAAATAAAAACGCCGTTCGCGTCTTTTCCTCCAGATTAACGTGCGGCGCGACATCATCAACGGGATTGATCCCATCGAGTTCTACGACGACCTTCAAAGAAAGTTTGAGAACATGTTTACGATTAACCCAGACGACGGCCTGCTGGTGCACACGAGCCCGTCCGAGCTGCTTGAAAGTACAGGGAATGTCCTTCTCTATTTGAGCAACCAGCCACTTTCGGGACTTGACGAATGAAGGCGCTGACACCAGTTTGAAAAAGCTGGCTTAAGATTGTTTGTTGATTCGAATGTTAGGGGTTTACTGTCGTCTTATGATTGCTGACTCGCCTTCGTCAACAAAACACTCTACGATATGCAGCAAAGTATTCGATAATGCTAGCAGGCGAAGTAGACAGAAACATTATTTTTGCCGCCTCGCTTTGAATACAGCTTCGTTTCGTAGACCCATTGTTTGCTGTTACATTGCTCAAAAGCTTTAAATCAGAGCATGTGCGCCGATTTGATAATGACCTGATCTGTGTTAGCGCAACACGCTATTACAATTCCGTCTGAAAGAAGCAAGTCTAGTGATAATCACGAGAAGGACTTGTCAAACAGCCGCCGCCATACGCGTCGACTGGCATGGCGCATATTCGTAAATGGATGCATAACATGATACAAGTTCTGCACAAATTGGTGCACGCGCTTTCCTTTCATCTCCGCCTCTGCCAAATCAAAGTGTTCAGCAAGCAGGCTTTGCGTTTTTTGACTTCGCATATGCACTGATGCCGAAAAGGACGCACGCAGGCGCCAACTCCGAACCTGCTTAAAACCCACATTGAGCTCGAGACAGGGCAGACAAAATTGCGACTTCTTGGCAAAAAGCGATTTCAAACGCTTGCTTCGAGTTTCGCCCGGCCCTCTTCCTAGCACCGGCCGAAAGTGCACGAATTTGCGAGCTCATGACAGATGGTGTTTGTTTCGCATGAAAAAATCGTTGCGTCTGCTCTTGTGTGCGCCTGGTGCAGTGGAAGCGTGCTTGCTCCCACTTCGAGCGGCACGCCGCATCTGGCCGTGCGCTGCACTGGCAGGACTGCAGAATCGAAGGATCGGCTTCTTGGTTGTGGGCAGTGATCCTGCTGGTACATACATACATCACATAATAAAGCCCGTACCAAGGCATGGGGCTTGATTGAGTACATGTGGTTGGGGACTCGACTCGGTTGCGATCGACCTCTGCCAGAGGGCCGCGCGGATACGAACGGTCCGCCTAGGCTCGCATGCGTCAAGGCGCTCAAAAATTCCGTATGCTGGATAATAAAGTTAAGTGCGCATTCCGCGTCGCGGGAACGCTTCACCGGGCTGTAGTGTTGTTCGTGGCGCGCACGGCCAGGCCGCAACCTCAGCTATATGTTCAGCAAGGCCGGGTTTCACGTCGTCATAGAATATCTTCGATACACTAAGCTCAATTTAAGCGGCAGTAGACTTGAGTCGATGCATTTCATTAGCGAGGACGGACGGCCTCACATGGAACACCTTATACGTCACTAATTCACTGGTTTGCGGCAGCCGCCCGGCACATTGATCGAGCCTAATACGTAGGCACATCAGGTCTACGACATGGCAGCTTACAGCCCAAAGGTAGCCTGAGATGAGTGATGTCACCCTCTTCACTGAGCTTCTTAGATTCATGGACCAGTAGGCCCGCCGAAGCGGTTATGCATCATGTATTGCGAGATTTACTGCAACAACCCTTCGCTTTTTAGCACAGCCAATCAGAAACGGATTCAGATTAGCTTCTAGATGGTGTGGAACTTCTTTGAACTGACTCTTTGACTTTTACGAACTGCCCTGTACCTGTCACCTTTACCGTCCTCTACAAGCTGAAAGATGGGCTATGCTTTGAAGTACAGGAGCTAGCTTTCATTAGCGAGCTACGCCCCGATCAGGAGTGGGATATGCCCACTTGATTATCATTTGTCTCTACGGCCTTAACAATCACACTCCCGCCAAATTCTATGTACAGGAAAAAGAGCAGCTCGCCCGTGTCTGTTGCTGCACTTTCCATCACAAAGCTTTCTAAACAGCGTGTCGCTTGAGCGACCAAAAGTGGACCTTCAAGCTTCCGACATCTCTGCTAGCCGCTTTGCTAGTTCCCTAGGATCCGCCCCTTGGAGTTCGCTGACCACCTTGCCGGCTTTGTAGAACCGAAATGTCGGCTGCAACAGGGAGACGCCAAAGCATGTCTGAGTCGTAGAAAGCGAGCGTGCTTGGCAGCCCACTCCAAGCAGAGCTTTCCACTGTAAAGCTCAGGAAAGAAGCCAAGGTTGTCAACTGGGCACTGTACTGCCTAGGATTGAGACCCTGTCGACTGTTTGCAATTCAAACCTCGAAGTAGTAAAACCAAGGGAGCGGGTCCGAGCATGACTTGGCTCACGACTAGACATCGGCCAGCCAAGTCTTCCGAAAGACAGGCTTTGACATGGTTTCCAGCATCTGCAGTCAGAGCGTCGCCAAAAGGTCTGATCGGAAACTGATGCGGAGAGCCAGGATCTTCCGGAATTCCAAGCGGGGAGGAATTGTTAACGTGGGCACATGAGAATAGCGTGCGGTCACTTCAAGGTCAAAGAAGAGCTGACAGATTTTAGGTTTTGCTTACCACTGCGCTGACTTCGGCATCCCGCACCGTTTTACTCAATTTGGGCTGCAAAGAACATACGTAGAAACGACGAGTAAGCAAAGGGGAGAGTTGACCAGAGATACACTCAAGGACTAGTCCCGCAAGCCCCAAGTCTGAACGATTATCCTGAGCAATGTTGACACTCAAAAGAAGTTCCGCTTTTCAGCCCTTCAATGCAATCAAAACCATTGCCTGCACAGCCCGCCAAGTTACAAGCGGCTGGTTATGAGGCTTCCGAAATTTCGTAGCGAGAGATGGCCTTTACAATGTACTCTTTTCACACGTTCGTAGCAGTCTAGCATCAGTCTTTCGTCAGCCTGCCTTAAGACTAAGGTAGATCAACCTGGCGCACTCGGTGTGGACAAGCGGACAGCGATGCTTGAAAGTAACTAGGATGGCGGATACTGACCTCGTCGATGTCGATTTGCAGAATCTTCACGTGCTCGAGGCGCTTGCTCAGCTCGTCCAAGTAGGGCGCAATCATCCTACCTGTCAGTAAACGGTGAATGGAAAGGTTTTAGGAGTCGTTCTTGCTTGAAAAGTCAGCTTGGTCTGAGACTGGGAACTTAAACGATCTGCCTGCGGAAGAACGATCTCCAGCGGTGGTACATTGTCATTCCTCAATGACCAGACCAATGTGAACGAAAAGCAGATTCTGCAGAGGTAGCTTTTGTTCTATCAGCATCAAAACGAGATTCGAGGCGTTCGGATGGTCGTCAAACCTACGAGGTGCTTGCGAAGGATCAACCATTTTTCAGCAAACCGGATCTGGGTTACAGAGTCTCGACCAAGAAGAAGCGAGAAGGACTGGTAGTTTCGGATGCTCACATGGACCGCACCACTGGGCTGTGAACTGCGTCAGGACGATGGGTGGGGGGCTCCCTGAGTCTGCAAACAAAATACAGGGCATCACGGAGCAAATCTTGAATTCATGCGACTAACAGTTATCCTAGGTAAGACTAGGTAAGATTATGGGACAGAAATACATCACTGGATCTCGTAACAATTCCACATTGTTGGCCCTAATCATGATGGTACTGTGATGTCAGGTACTTGCGACCAAAAGGTGGTTGTGACGCGCATCTGCACGAACCTCATGGAATACAAGGGCAGACACACCCTGCTGAGCAAGGCCGACAAACCGTTGCTGACCTGAAAAAGTCGATTGCCGCTAAAGGAGTGACGGCCAAGCCAGCTGCCGGGAACAGCAGAAATGAAACTGGAAATGTGGATGTTCAAGTGGAGTTGCGCGAACAAGCAGCGAGCTTTTGGGTCTGAGCAAAGAAGTAGAGGAGCAGGAACGAAGGAGCTAAAGTTAGGTGGGGGCGCATACCTGTGGGAGCCTCCCATGCTCTCTTAAGTTCCTTCTCATATTCTTCGTCGCTCTTCACAGCGTGTACCTTCGAACCTTCCCCGGCTGGAACAGCTGCAAGTGGAAAAGTTTCCAACAGTCAATTGGAATCTTCTCGGGTGGATTGCTGCCCGACAACGGTGCGCTGGCGGTCACGAGGAGGGTCAATGTTTGATTGTGCTAAGAGCTGTCGTCTCACTGAAGTCTGAGTCTACAGTTGACTCACACATTTATGCCTTTCAAAGTGGGCCACATGGTCCAGGCTGCCCGAGAAAAAGAAGAGCAAAGGTCTCCAGAAGACAATTCTTGAGGCACAAATCCAAAGCATGCATGGATTCAACGGAGACGACGCTCCAAAAATGATCTCTCACTAATCCTCAAAAGTTGGATGAGCCACATCTTCCCTTGTCGTGACTGCCACATCAACAATTCAAAATGGTCAACCAGGGATCCTTCATCGCATGCACTCTGCTGAAAGATGTACCTCAATTGGAAATGGAAGCACTGTGTATGATAAAAAGTTGGTAAGCCTGCCTGCCTGCCAAAAGCTCTATTTAACATGCAGCTAGCGGCGCCTCAGCCAGTGGTGCACCAGGAAAGTCCCACTAGTGAAAAGCAGCATTGTAAGACTACTCAAGTCTCTGCAATGCTTGAAAGATGGTGAACAAGGTTTTCTCCGCTCACCACTAAAAGACCGAGCCCCTACACTTCCTTGCATCCAGCATCCAATCTGCATCCTACTGCGAATCATCGCGTCACTTTGCACCACCGCGTCCATCAGAGGCACCAGGCAATCGCTCCCACACCGGAGCACGCTCTGACCGCTCAGAGACTCCCCTGAGGATTCTGCCAGACCCTGCATCGAGCCGCGCACTGCATTTGATGCTGCCGGGACATGTGATACACGTGAAGCGCAGCAGTGCCCTTGCAGACGGAAAAGCTGGCTGAGCGTTCGCTGCGCCTGGTGCATGACTTCCCTGCCTGCCATGTTTCCACCTTCCTTCAGCTCTGGGGTTCTTCTAAGTGTTCTGCAGCAAGCGGAAGGGGCGCTGCGTGCTCAATGCCAGCCGAGCAGCTTCTTGCACTGATCTTAATTGCTGAAGATTTCAGCGCCTGGCGTTGCCTGCCCCTCAAGTGACGGAAACGAGAAATATGTTGAGGGTGTGAATAGCCCGTTGAGGAATTTGCAGTCCATGCGGTGTATTCCATGTAGACTTTTTGAAAGTATTCACATGGGCATTCTCAAGTTTTGTTGGCCTTCATGCTTGGAGTCGCACCTGGTCCTCAATCACGATTCATGGGTTCATTCAACTTGATCAACTTGCAGGAAGGGTCATGGCGTCTGATCCTGGCAGGGCGTCCAGTTCTGAGCTGCATGCAACTGGCTGGCCCCAATTGCCAGAAGGGGCAGGGAACAGCACGTCCCGGACAGCGCCTCCAGGGTTTTCCACCAATTCATCAGCTGACGGCAACAAGGGTGCAACAAGAGTTGACGGATCAGAATTGGTAGCTGAGGGGAAAGCTAGGATGGGAGGAAACAGGGAAGGGCCGGGAGCGGGGCCTCCAGGGTTTCACAACCAGCCTGGGTCTGGAAGGGGGAAGCGAGATTATGAGGGGTCCGCTGCTTCGCAGGGTGGATTGTCAAGTAGGGGGAGGGGAAGCAACAGAGGCGGGGGTTTTCCAGCGGGTGGTGGCATTGCGCGGGAGAATAACCCTGGCCAAGGCTCTCCCAATGTAAACAGGCCTGGTGTGAACGGGCCTGGTGTGAACGGGCCTGGTGCGAATGACCGCAGCTCAACCAGTACAGGAAGCTCGGGGAGCATCCTCGGCACACCTGGCATTCAGAGTGGCCAAGGACAGCAAAGAATGGAGAGGCGCAGTGGACTTGGTATCACTGGGTTGGATGCGAACGAGGCTGGAGGCCAGAATGGTCCGTATGGTCGCGTCGACGACAGCTACGGGAAGAGGCATGGCGCGAACGGCCCTCGACATCAGGAGCCCCGCTTCAATCAGAGCCACCAGACAGGGTGGGTGGAAAACCCTGCCACTAACGGGCATCCACACGAAAATGCTGACGGAGGTGCTGAGAGTGCGCGTGGGACTGCGCAAGGTTCGGATGAAAGCCAGGGTGCGCAGCAGGGGCGGAGAGGCGGCCGAGACCGGCGGCAGGACCGGAGGAACCGTTCGGACGCCAGCGGAGGCAGCGTCCGGAGCGGCGCCTCGGTCGAACCGTCCGAAGAGCCGCGCGAGACCGGAAGCGGAGGTGGTTTGCAAGCGACGGGGTGGGAGGAAGCGTCGGTCGCAAATGCTAGCGGGACCGGTCAAGTCGCCACCACTTTAACCATGCACAAGCCTTCAGAACTGGGTGCGAAAATGGACGAGGGTTCCGATGCACGGCCTACGGGTTGGGGGGGTGGACCGGAGCAGGCGGCGCTGCCCCCCGTTGCAACGCGTGACGCTCCCGGAGGGTCCGATTCGGGCAGCTCGGTTTCGCTCGCTTTTCGGCAGAAGAAGAGGGGGGGGCAGGGGGGCCGGCAGCAAGGTGGGCAGCAAAATGCGATTGGGGGCGGAGAGATGAGAAACCAGAGGGACAATGTGAGAGAGCAAGGCAAGCAAGGCGGTGTTACTGGTGGAGCAGTTTCAGGGAAGCAGGCTGGGGGGGTGTCAAGAGCCACTGGATGGATTGACAACAGTGGGAGGGAGACGGCAGAGGCGACGGCTGGGAGTGCAAGATCCGCCACCAAGGGGGGGATGAGAGGTGAGGAAGCAGTAAGGCAGACTTTGGCCCCCCCAAACGTGGAAGACGCGGCGGTGATTCGATCGACCGGGTGGAGTGGAGACATTGGGGAGAGTCAGGGGGAACTTTCTGTGGGGAGTGCGAGGCCGATACCGACAGGAGGGGGAAGGGGCGCAAATAAAAGAAGGCAGACTGTGCCTCCCCAGGACATACGGAAGGAATCAGCTGGAGAAGGATTACAGAGTGTGGCGCATATGGGGAATGCGCCGACAGGCTGGGAAACGGATCCCGCAGGCGGTGCATCTCCTGAAGCACAAAAAGATGGTTCAAAGGCGGGAAGGAAGGGCGGGAGGGGACCTACGAAGCAGGTGATGCCGCCCCAAGACATCCGGAAAGAAGCGGCAGTGCGGCATGGCCCCCCAGGTTTCAACCAAGGTGTCCGGAACGAGGTGCGGGCCCAGGACCCCTCCCCAATTCTGACTCGAGATGCACCCCCCCGTTCCGGTGAAGATGGCGCCACCGGATGGACCGAGCAAAGCAGCGGTGCACTTTCTGGACCGTCTGTCAGTGATGCTGACTCGAAAATGAAGGGGCAGGTGGGGCCGTCTGGTTCAAAGAAGCAGCTTCCAATGGCCCCACAGGACATCAGGAGAGACTCGGCGCATCGGGTTACCCCCCGAGAGGCGCGAGCGCAGTCGGCCCAGCCCAATCTTGTCCAGGACGTCAGGAAAGAGTCAGCCCAGCCCGTGGCTTCTCGTGATGCAGAGAAAAGAGCGGCGCAGGCTGCCCCCCTCCAGGACGCGAGGGGAGGAATGGCGCAGGTGGGAGAGAATCAGCCGGTGGCGTCAATTGGACAAGCTCCGGGTTGGGAAGCTCGGACACCGCTTGGGGAGCCAGTTTTGCAGACGCCGGTTGGACAGGCGAAGGTCCCGGTCCAAGATGTTCGGACGAGAGGGCCTCAGACGGGGTCGAGCACGCATGGTCGGGATCGAGCCCCGCCCGCAAACCGCATGCCTCCGCAGAACGCCGCTCCACAGAAAGACGAAAGGGGCTTCCCGAGAGAACAGCAGCCGCGCTCGGGAGCTTTTCCGAAGCGAGAGCCGGCTCCAAGGGAGGAGCGAGGTGGGGGGTCAGGAACCGGCGGTCGAAGAGAACCGGCTGCAGCGCTTTTGCCAAGCCCACAACTCACAAGCACCGGGCTCTCTGTAGGAAGTGAATCGGCCCCACTTTTGCCAAACCCGCAACCAACTGGCTGGACGAACCCCCCAGAAAGTGTGGAAGGTCCCCATTCACACCAGGCTGCCCCGAGGCGAGGGATCCTAGGCGCAATGCCCCCCTCGAGAGCATCGGGCCGGAGTTCCGACAGCAGCGGACAGAGCTCGGATGGGAGCACCCCACGTCACCGTCCGAAGGGGGGCAGATCGGAGCGCACGCAAGAGACACAGTCGCACGCTTCTGACGGGCAGGAGAGGAGTTGGGTTTCTGGGGGTGTGAATCCGACGGCTCCGGTGGGGAGTTCGGGTGGTCCGGGTTCGTCTATGGGGGGTTCGATTGCCGCTGTAGGAGGTTCCGTTTTGTCTGGGGCAGGTTCCGTTCCGTCTGGGGCAGGTTCCGTTCACTCTGCGGGGACTTCTGGTGCCTCTGCGGGGGGTTCATCATCCGGGGGGCAACCTTCAGCGCCCGCTCACAAGCAAACGGAAACCGGGGGCGTGCAGCCCAACCCCCCCAAAGCGTGGCAGGGGGTTTCGCCGGCCAAGTCGCCAGCGAAAGCGAAGCAGGGGGTGGTGCCTGCCAGGGGGGCGGGGAAAGGGGCGCCCGGAGGGGGGGGAGAGTGGGCCCGTTTGTGCCGTATTTGCCGCAGGACGACGTGGAGGGGGGTCTGGCTGTGGAGATGTCGAGCGAGGAGCTATTGAAGCTGCTGAAGCTGGGGGCGCAGGAGTTTTGGAAACATGGTGAGGCGGCGCGCTTCGATGTTGGTGCTGTAAAGTTGCTTCTGTTCCGTCCTTGTCAAAGTTTGCTGCCCTCTTCGTAGTCCCGACTGCTCTGAAGGGCATTTGAGGCGCTGGGAGTGACCGTGACGTTTGATTGATCTGTCCCCTCGTATTGCATCGACAGCAATTTCGAAGTCCCGTAAACCCTTCCTCTTTGGTTGTTGCGGTACCGCTTTCTTCATGGATTCGTACGCAACTCAGACAAGCGACTCCTGCATCTCAACGGCGCCTCCTAAGCCCGCACTTCGGACGCCATTCGGACGTCGTCTCAATCGTTTGCTAGGCACTGTGGACACCATTCGGACCACACCCCATTCTCCTTCCAGCCAACCCAAAGGCATTCCGGACCCCAGTTTCACACAATTCCTTCTTTGCGTCCGTGCAGTCGCGCGGGACGACAGCCTGCCCCAATTCCTCAACTTGTACCTCCGCTTCCGCAAGCGGCCCCACGATGTCGAGGGGGATCCCTCTGGGCTCGAGAGGAGCATCGCCGACGAGGCGGCCGCCGTGCTGCAAAAGCGGGTCTTCTTGACCCTCTTCAGACTGTAAGTTTTTTAGGCAGAAGTTAGCGATGGCCTCTGTAAGGGTGCCGTAGTACATAATAGTTTGCGGTTCTGAATCGCAATGTGAGGATTAAGGAGTGTATGTCTCTTAAGGACTCGCGAGAGAGTTTTGGGGAATTTTGATGACCTGACTACAAGGACCTGTTTCAAAGGCTTTGTCTTTTTGGCCGCGTCTAGAAAGCGGCAGTGGTCTGCTCCCGACCCGTCTAATATTCTTCTCCGTAGCTCGTTTCGGCTCCGCTTCTACTAACAAGCTGCCAAGCCCTGGCCGTTTGAAATGCGGTACAAAAGCAAACTGCAATGTATCCCACTGTTAGCGTTGTCTATTCCGCTCTGTGCTCTTCGTCAGCCCCTTCGCCTGATGAAAAACCCCTTGCATGGGGACATCCTCCTCAACCTTCGCAGGTTTTGTGTTTCTGTGACGTTTAATATTTAGACCGCTCCCCTTTGTTTTCCCGGTCTTGCAAAGGACCGGAGAGTAGCTAAGTCTGTCAACGTCCTAGCAGCCCTTAGACTTTCTCTGGACGCTCTTATTTCACTGTAACGTCTGAGTGTCCAAACATTCGCGGACTTGTCCTTTCAGGTCTTCGCCTAGAGAGCCGGGCGCCGCATCCGGGGAAGTCCTGTCCCCTCGAGAGCACACCGAACTGCTGCGGAGAAAGGACCTGCTGGGCGTTCCCCAGTTGATGGACATCGCGGCGATCTACGGTGCGACCAAGCCGGACCTGACGAGACGCCTGGTACGCACCTGTTCCCTTTCTTATTCGACAAACGGGCGTTTGTGGCTCTTACTCTCACTTTTGGCACCCGTTGAAAACCTTCGCTTTTTATTCAATTTCCTGAAGACTGCGACGACGGGCATTTGTGGTTCTCATTCTACTCATGATGAAGGTTTTCGCTTCCACCTTTAAGCTTTTCGCATAATTCTGGATGCTTGTATTGCTGTCCGTATAGACGAACATGATGGGACTCATCTTAGGCCAGTTTTCGTCGGGTCCACAGCCCCTATGACGTCAGCACTCCCCCATGACGTCAGCCCTGACTCCAAATGTACTTCATCGCAGGTCGAAAACGTGTTTGAGAATCAGCCCGGCCACCAGGCCGCCGTGGCTGCGTGCGTGGACCCCATTCTCAACACGCTCTCTTCGATGCGCGCCCGGAGCGCGGCCGCGGTTGCGGCGCTTGGGGCCCAGCAGCCGGCCAACCAGGACGTGCCACGTGTCAGGCACAATCTGAATGAGGTCATTGATTACGTCAGCGACGTGGCGGCGACCTTGGGTGCCTTTGTGGGGGTCTACCCGGCGGTCGCAGCGGTGCTTATTCCGAAGGAGGGCGAGGGAGCAAGGTCAGTCCGTATTTGAGACTTTGGGGTAGTGAAGATAGATGAGATCAAACAGGGTACCTCTGTAAGTTGGGTATCAGGATAGAAGTCCGTATGTGACAGCTTTGCTTGGTGCATGCCTGGAAGCATTCACAAGTCTCTCGCTCTTTGCTTCGAGAATTATGTCGTTGCTACGGTGCTTTTTCTCCGACACGAAGTGATGGGAAGCACGGAGCCATCTTTAGGTTACCTGGCAGAAGAACGTACGGATTGTGAACACGCGGAGCATTTACAGCTTCAGCACAGATCTTGGACCACTAACTTTCCACTTGTACCGTCTCCTGACCTGCTTTATCCATCCTTTGCGCAGCCCGAAGGGGTCAAAGGAGGCCTCTTTTCAAATCCACTATAACTTCACAAGTTGCGCATGCGAAGACTTCAACCACTGATCAGTCCTGAAGTCACTCCCTGTCCACATACTTTTCCGCAGCCCGAAAGGCACGCTCCTCTCCGCGCTGGCAACCGCCCACGACCGCTTGCTCCCCACCGTCCTTTGGGGCCTCCGTTCCCTGCCCCCCAGCACTGACGTCAGCCCCGACGTCAGCCTGGCGTCAGCGGCGCTTCGGGCCTCCGAGCAGAGGCGCGCCCAGCACGCGCGTGCACGCATCGCCTCTTTGGCTTGGGCCGTACTCGAAGCCAGGTTCTTCGCTGCCGGGGGGGCCGGAAAGGCCGGCGGAGGAGCCCCCCAGAACGAGAGTGGCAGTGCGCTGGTGGAGGCGCTGGGTAGCCTGCGGGGAGGTGAGGACGAGACTGAGAATTCGGACGCCGGACGGAGGGGGGCGCTTCTGCGGACGCTGGATCGGAAGAAGGACTTGAGGGGGCTGATGAGGAGGCTACAGGCGAGCGGTGAGTCGCCGCTGGAGTCATGAGGTTCCCAGCGCGTTGAGCTCTCACCATGTCATTGGGCATATCTGTTGACTGGCGATAGACGCCTTTCTTGTCATCCAATTTTGGGATGCTGACAAACGTAGAGAGTATTGGCACCTACTTTCAGAATAAGCGAAACCGACAAAGCTGGAGCAGCAAGCTGCCGAGTGATCAACCGGTCCCGCTGACCAAAGCTTCCGCCTCTAGAAAGCTATTCATTGTGCTCTGATTTGGAAACCCTGTTATCTTTCTGGCGGGCCAAAAAGAGGAGTCAACATTTCGTCCCGGAGAACACGTTTGGCACCAAGAGGTTTCCTCAATCAGCATCCGTCGCTGCCTTTGCAGGCAAGACTAACATCGACAGCGCCCAGCTAGAGTCCATCGACGCACTCCTGGGGCCCCCCGAAACGAAGCGTTCCGCCAGGCAGACTACCGCGAGTGGTGCATCGGCCGCAAGCGACACGGCGAGCGCAGAGGAGGAGGCCCTGCAGAAGTCCAAGCTCAGCCAGATCAAGGTACGATTCTGACGCGTGCGAAGCGTAACAAGGCCTCTTACAGCCGGAATCCGCGAGAGGTGACTCCTTAATCAGGAGTCATCGACCTGTAGTAGCGCTCTTTTCGATGGCTTTTTTTGAAATCTGTGATCAGGGGTTGCCTCTTGCTATCCTGCTTGCTCTACTGTTGTGAAATTCGCCTTATGCCAGAAACCCTGGCCAATTTATGTGAAGAGGCTATGTGCAGGTTGAAAGTGATTGTTCCCTTGACAGCACCTTTCTGACTTGCAACGCGGCCCTCTCGTGTTGGTGTGTCCTCATAGACCTACAGTTTAGGTAGGATAGTTCAACGTAGGATATGGTCAGTGCCCGGCTAACGGGTAGTTTGGTGGTTGGGGTGGGTACGGATGCGGAACAGGTACATTTCCTGATTTAAGTTTTTAGGTTTGTTCTCCCCCGGGAACTATTTTTAATCTACCTAGAAACTATCCTCTATACTACAGGAGTATTTCATTCCAGCTCTACCACCGCACAGGGTTCAAGGTTGCAATAAGTGTCCTCGCCCCTGTTGTCTAAGCGTCGGAGTAAACGTTGGCCGTGTCATTATCCCAGCGCTTGTTGAGGTGGTCGCTTATTCCGGAATGTGCCCAATCCTTTCCGCTTACAAAATCGACGATTCTGATTAGACCATACTGGGTCGGCTTTACTTTAGAATCTTAGGTTCCGCTGTTCATGAAAGTTGCGTTTTCATTTATTACTAAGCTAATCCGGCTTAACGGCGCTGCTAACAGGACCTCCTTCCCGACTACGGCGACGGATTTTTGGCCGTCTGTTTGGACGCTTACGACAACGACGCGGAACAGGTCATCGCGCACCTCCTGGACGGGAACCTCTCCCCGGCACTCGCGGCACTTGACACCAAAATGATGGAGAAGCCGCGGCCGCAGGCCGAGCCCAAGCTTGGTGTCAAGGATAAAGGCAAGGCGAAAGTGGTGGAAGAAGCGGCGGAGACGGGCGGGGTTAGCAGCCGGAGTCAAGGGGTTAAGGGAGGGTTTGGCGAAGCAGGTCCGAGCGGCTCGTCGACCGCAGGCGCTTCGTCGGTCGTTCCCGGCACTTCGTCGGCTGCCGTGAGCGCTTCGTCCTCTGTCCCGGGCGCTTCGTCGTCGGCGTCGGGCGCTTCCGAGGCGGCGAAACGCTCGAGCGCGGACCAGTCGGGGCGTTACGTCCGGCGCGACCGGGCGCCGTCGGACGCGGTCGCGCTGCTCGACGCGCGCGGCAAGGGCGACGAGCGGCTGCGGAAGATGGCGACCGAGTACGAGTACGAGGACGAGTACGACGACTCGTTCGACGAGCTGACGACGTACGGAACGGACGCCGGGGACGAGGAGGGGCTCGACGCGGCGGTCGCAAAAGTCCGGGGGGGTGCCGCCGTTGCGCCCACCGGGTGGGGGGAGCAGAAGGGGGCGGCGCCGTCCCCCCCGAAGCGGAACCCGGGTCCCCCAGGGGCGAAGAAGAGCGGGCCGCAGTTTTACGTCAAGGACGGAAAGAACTACAGCTACAAGGTGGCCGGATCGGTGGCGGTGGAGTCGGTGGAAGCCGCGGCGGTGATGAAAACGGAGCAGGAGGCGCTCATTCACGGCCTGGGCGCGGGGGGCAACGTGCCGCATGTGAATGCGCGCGAGTCGGAGGAGAGCGGGTCGGAAGAAGAGGGCGAGGGGGAGGGTGGGGAGCCCGGCCCGGGGGGGAGAGGAAGAGGGGGCGGAAGAGGGGGGGGGAGAGGAGGCGCGGGGAGGGGCTCGTTCGCGCGGAAGGAGCAGAACAAGAGCAGCGTCGCGAATCACCGGAGGAAGGACCGGGCGACCGCGAAGTTCGTCAAGGCCGTCGGGGGGTTCTGAGTGAGCCCGTGAATGGCCGCATGAGAGCATGCGAGTGTCCGCTTGGGTCGGATTTCTGATCTTTGTGATGTTGCTCCCATGTTTCGCGTAGGCCGCCGCAGGCTGTGAGCATAGCTCGGTCACTGTCGAAAACGCGGATTGCAGAGCGGCCAGAGAGTGTGGACTGTCGTACTTTGTGCGCAAAAGACGCCTCAGATTGAATGGAGTTTTGATCATACTTGGCTTTCCACTTCAGAGTACGATTTGTAAACCACGCGCCACTTAATTGAGCTGGCAAGGGCGGTGGAAATGACGCTGCTGTTTTATCATGTAATGTTGAGATCAGCATCAGATCAATGGTCTGCCACCATGATCCGGTCACCCTATGTGCCAAACGCTCGTCGCATTACTGGTAGCTCTGCAGAGCGCAACCAGATTCTTATTAACCTAGAATTGGCCCGGATGCGATAGACCTGCTTGCCGTCCATCAATAGTTCCAAATCTGTACATTAGAGTCTCCCGCATGTCCATGTGTCACGCGCAGATATATATCGCCTTATCGATGCGCCTGGCCGTCGATGCCAACTGGATAGCGGCCGGCCAATGAGTGAACGATAACATCAACATCCCGTTGCAACATTCCGAATTTACCTCCTAAATCATACGGAGAGTCTTATGATTGTCGTGTCTTCCGAGTCGTCCTAGCTACATCACACGTACTGGTCGTCAAAAGAAGGCCTATAGCAAGTATGAATAACCGCAGTTTGTATCGAACCGACCACAGTATGAGACAGCCGCACTGCAGGTATATTCTGCTGGACAGTCCAGCTCGCCTTGTAGAATGCCAATGGCAATCTCAAATACATAGTACGTCTACGTACGTACCTTTGTAAAGCCGGCCTGCGCTGCCCGCGCTACAGAATTCCACCAGCGAGGCGTGGCGCTTCAGTTCATTTTCTGATCATGCATCGATGCCTCCCTTTCACAACATTGTGACGAAATAAACACGGGTCTCCGCTGAAGAATGAGGTACACTCCGCCGCCGCCGCCGGCAGTGCACAATTTGCACATCAGCCGAATTCACCGGCACTCTAGGGAGCCTCTCATGTTGCATCATGCTCAAGGTTACAATATAGTTGGTGAGTGGCCATGAACAAGAAGGATGGCATACCAAGGCGCCTTACTTAACTCAATATCTCTTCCTTGGGTAAACTGGAATCAGAGTTTGTCATCTCCGACCCATCTCCGAGTTCATGATATTAGCGACGGGGCTGCCTGTCATTCTTATCCGGAGGTTACGATTGTGCACGTGAACCGGGCCTACCGATGGGTTTGAAGGGTACGGTTCAAGAGGGCGGCCGCGCCCAGCCGCGCGTACCCGTTCCCCTTGCGGCTAACCCTTCTTATTTCGTCACAATATTACCAACGCCATTATCACTTTTCACCTGCCTGCGGGTGCTCGCCGCTAAGTCCTCCTCCAAGAAAGGCAGCATGGCAGCTCGGCCTTCCTCCCCGCTCTCCTGTTTGTTCTAGCACTGACGTGCCGGAGGTCTCTGCACACGTCAGCAGCGCGCATCATCAAGCCTGGAAGCAGCTACCTTCCCAGCCTCGACGACCAGCTGCCGGTGGAGAAGGCACCAGCTGACGCCACCCCGCCGAACCCGTGCGGCCATTTTGACTCCGATGACCCCCTTGACGCCGGCAACGCGCATCAGCCGTGCTATGGACCGGATGGGGAGGTTTGGTATTGCTGGTAATTGCGCCATACTACTTTCTCTAGGTGCCTGATCGCTTGACTGGTTGAGTGATGCTGCTGTCTCTTCTCTTGTCGGACGTGCTTGATCATTTGTAGAGCTTGACCTTGACTTGGCAAAGGCTGCCATTGGGCCCCTCAACGAATCCTCTTCAGCTTAATGTATGCAATCCTTTGAATGAGATTGGGAATGTGCACGTAAGTTGATCGAACTTCGCCTGTTCAATCAGTGAACGTTATCCTAGCCCAACTTCCTTTTAATCAGGATTTTGATCACTGATCAATCAAGATTAATTGATTAGAGTTTTGTTCACTGTTTGAACGAGCGAAATTCGGTCAACTCATGCACATTCCCAATTGACCATGACGACGTCCGAGCCTGACTCAGCCTTTGCCATGATCTTAAACAAAGACCAGGATTATCTAGCTCAAGCTTGCTGGCTATTGTGCGAATGATCCCCTTCGAAAACTAGCCACAAGGTCACACTGACCTTGCAATGCGCATATAGAATTTGAGCCGGCGCTGAATAGTGGCTCTGTTTCCTGTGCAGCCTTGCTGGGAGCACCATGTGCTCATGTCCGAAAGCTGTGATTGACCGTGATGCTGCCGCTGAATTTGGCTGCTACAACTACGTAATATCTGGTTGATGCTTTTAATGTTACTTCTATCGAGTGTTTTTGATGCTGGCATGGAAGTATAAGACGTAGCGCCTCGAGTTCTCCCGTACGGTCGTTTGAATCAGACAAGTTGCTCATGACTTTTGCAGCGACGTTAATGGCAAATAGTCGTCAGTTGTTGACCTCTATGCACGATTCCCCGATCTGTTCATTCTCACTCTTCAGACTCGATAGTTACTTGCAAGCACACAGTAGTACAGTCAACCGCCAATGAGCTGACCTTTCACTTGACGGGCTTAACCGCTTGACAGCTCGAGTCCGTGCGCCACTAGCACTGACGCAACTAATTGATTTGCCGGTGTTGTAGGTTGCAGACAACTCTCTGAATGCAAACACGGGCGCAGAGTGCGGCTACTTCTTCCCAGAGATCACAGGGTACGCTGGCAGGATGCTCGCCGCAAACGCTACGGGCCACGCTTGCCCGCCTCGAGACAGACTCTCGTATCCTCTGGGTCCTGGTTCCACGAGTGGTTGTCCGACAAGCGGCACCCTCTTCTGCTCCTATCCAGCTTTGCCGAACGAGAACCCCAACGACTTCTTTTGCAACTATGATGCGAGCACTGGACAGCTGACGCAGGATAACGATGCGGGTTACTGCCTCTCCTCGGCTCCTGCGTGCAGCTAACAAGGGCGTGCTGCGAGCTTAGAAGGCAAGGGCTAAGTTCCAACAACCAAAGTGCTCATTGGGAAAGCTAAGGTTTGCTACATTTGTCCTAACTTCGAACTAAAAGATCGGGGGTTGTAGCTAAGCGAAAACGCAAGACTGGTTTCGAGGCTCTGGCTCGATCCATGTAAAAACTAATAGGTTCGAGGCGAATAAGGCTTCTTGGAGCTTACAATCAAACTGAAATGAACCTAAAGCTGTCGCTCAGAAATTTTAGAGACTCAACATAGTACGCGTGTGCCGGCGGCTTTCGACATCATGGACACTGAAGACGGCCAAATACTTACTAGTAGCTTCCATATAGCATGCGCATCGGGAAACACACAATCGATTTTTCTCCTCACAGGCAGCTTCTTAGGCACGTATCATGCTGCGTTTAGGCTATCTTAGGCATGCCTAACAGTGGCAAACCTGCCTAATGAACATTAGGCATGCCGAGTGGGTCTTAGGCCGGTCTTAGGCAGGTTTTAGGCAACTTAGTGCTTTCTCACAGTGATCTATCGTACGAGAACGCACGAAACTGCATGAAAGCCTTATGATTACGGGTTGACGTACGATTGCTGCACGCAACTAACGGGGACGGCATATTGCGCCGCAAGCCCGCCGCAAGCCGACAAGCCTTGCCATGCCGAGGGCGGTCCGTGCCGGGTAGTGTCCAGATAGCGACACGTGGCGCAGAACGTGCCACGTGGCGGCGATGGGG